TTCTTTACCTGCCTAACATCCCTTTCTTATTTCCAAATGGCTAGAACACCCTTTAATTTCTTTTCTATCCCAACTCATAACACTGAAAATATTTTATCTATGCTCCTTGAGGCACAATCCTTGGATGGCATTTCTGACACACAAAAATTGTTACCATTTTGGCTTCTTTGGCGAATATGGAAATCACGAGATAACCTTATCTTTCAACGAAAACCAGTTAGGATGACCAAAGATATTAATACAACTTATGCTAAAATTGCAGAATGGTTAAAAGTGACCGACAATAACTCTTGCCCTTCTACACCCCTTTTGCAAATGACTTCTTAGACTTGCCCAAGACTAGGGCCTCTCAAATGCAATTATAATGCCACTTTTGATCATGCTACAAAACAGAGTAAGGCTGGCTGGATGGTTTGCGATTGTCAAGATCATGCAAAATATTGGGGATCCGTGAACTCATGAACATAATCTTCTAGCTTGGAGGCTGAAGGCAAGGCATTGCTTGTTACTATGCAAAATATATGGGGTATGGGATACCAAGATGTTACTTTTGATGGGCATTGCTTAATTTTACTGAACTATTACGTTCATGGGATCAAACTGCGGCCATTTCGAGTTTAATTTGTGATATTGATTATTGGCTAACTTGCAGTACTAATTTTACTATTCTTCATGTTAGATGAGAATGTAATTATACTGCTCATACGATTGCTAGATATGGTCCAGCTAATGAACTATTTCAATCTGAATGTGTGTATATGTCTTAATAGCTAGAAAACTCATTGTATCTGGATTCTACAAATTCATAAATCAATAAATATAATGTTGATAAAAAAAATTAATATTTACAGTCAGATATAATATCCAGATGCAAAAACAAAATGAGTAAATATATTAAAATTACATACAAAAATAAATAATAATTAAAAATCTATTTTACACTGTAGAAAAAAAAAGATTAAAAAAGTCTTGGATGGCAATGTACTCTCTTGAATGTGACACCATTAAGCAGATAAATGAGAAGTTTTGCATCAACCAAATTTCTGATCAAATTTGTGAATACTAATGCCCGCTTGGCTATTACTTGGCTTCATCAATATGATGTATCAAGAAAACTTTTTGTGCAAATCAGTATTTATTATCTATACTCTATCTTTGTGTATTACTCTTTTTGTTTGGTAAATTATCTTTGTAATCAAAATATGAATTTCTGAATTGTATATGTTATATACACTTTGACCCACTCCTCTCGTCAAAAATAATATCTCATCAACTTCATATACCCTAACCAAATATATATCATCCATCATCTAGACATCTACACACATTAACACATCTTCCTTCCTCATCCATAAACCAATATATATACCATGACTTGTGTATCATAATAGTTATCATTCATCAAACTCAGGTAAAATCCTTTAATAACTCTCAAATCTCAAATCACATATATGTCTTTGAATTCCCTCAAAATGATCTTCCAACCACTCTCACTTATCATCTTAACTCTAATCTTCACTTTTGTTAGTTCTAGCTGTTTCATTTACGACTTTGACTCTGTATCGTCTTCAGCCACTACACCATTAGAAACTGTCTCTGATGGAGCTGTGATGAAAGTCGTGGAAATTACGGTCATTAGGGGGATTCAGATTCCGTTACCCAATTGTAATGGCGCTAGCCTTTCCGTTAGGTAACACCGTAACAATGTCTTTTATTAAGATCAACAGCGTCCCTTTTATAAATATATCACTCGCAAAACTGTCCAACATAATCAAATGATATGTTATGCAGATTCTAACCTCTTTAATCTTTTTTATTTCTTTTACGCACGGATTTGGTTATATATATATGTATTTTTTGTTTTTTTACAATATTTACAAATAGTTATTAAATATAAGTATTATAAATTGTTTCTGAAACTATTATCTAATCAATAATATTTACATATGATATAAATGTATTGAATATTTAGACTACATACATTTAATAATTTCAAGTACTCTAAAATATTTATGGTCTCTTGGTTTATATGTTCACGGCTAAAAACATATTGGAAAAATGAAGGAAAAAAAACAGATAATAATTAGTCTCTTCAACTCCTGCTCATGGCTGGATTGTCTAGCTGAAACTCTCTAATCCTCTTTTTGTTCCAAATTCCTATCTATCCACAGAGCCTGTGGACCTTGCCATGCCTCTTATTTTCAGCCGTCGCATATTTGGCTCCGCTTTGACGTACACTCATAATGTGATGAAACACCATGTCCATCAATTCATGTGCACTGTAAATATCTATAGAGCATGAGTGGATTCAGAGCAAAAATTGAACAAACATTTTATATGGAGACAACAAATAAGTTTGATTTACTGGGAAAAGATCAGTATGAAAAGTCAAAATTTTAATTTTGATTATTTTATGTCTGTCTCTAAGTTCATAGTCGTGTAGTACAAAATGTTTTAAAACAAAAAAAATAATCTCAAAGAATCTTTACAAACATAAACTTTAACAATGTGTTGTATGTCGAAAATCAACATATTTTAAGAAAATTAGATATGAAAGCTATATGTGTATCAAAACAGAGGTAGAACATAATTTATTTATACATTTCTTGGTAAACTTTGAAACATGATATTTTAAATTGTATACCACGTACAATTTCATAAATTATAATGGTCAAACAAAATTTTTGGTGTTCTATTTGTGTTTGTACACTCCGACTCCGTTATTAGCTTACGTCAAATGTAAGTTAATAATGTCAGATTTATAACTGCTAACTACTCCAAACATAACGGAGTCTGTTGCTTACGAATTGGCTGGGCATAGATATTTGAACTATCAAAATAATAAATTTTAAATTTTATGAAAAATCATATTATAATGGATATGGAGTGCCTGGTCTCCGGTCAGTGTTTGAATTCCCCATGTCCATATCGTTTGATCGTCTCTGTAATCACAAAAGATGAAACATTCATGTGCCTGAAGAGTTGAATAGAACCATGTCGTCATATAGGGAGGATATATAATCAGTAGAGGAGAAGGGGATTCTAATTTATCATTGCCAAGTGAAGGCGTATGATCATTCAGCTAGGGATTGGAGAAAAATATTTTTCGTTATAGCTCATATTCAGTAAGTTATAACTCTTTGACTTGAACTTTTTTCTAACTTTTCGCACGCCGAGAAATCCTAGAGGATGTCCTACATACAAAAAGATGCAACTAGAAAGAATTATATATCTATTATAAGATTCGTAACCTTATTAGCATAGTAAAATATGTGGTTCTTGATTTTTTTAGCAATCAACTAAATTTTATTCTTCAAAAGCCAGGATTGTACTGTTAATGCAGAGATCCTCAAGACGATAAAACCGCAATAAGCATAAGTATTATTATACATTATAAGCACCTAATTAGTGTTGTAACCTTAGTCATAGTAACTCCTCTGAAAGTTGTGAACTACATGTTAAGTTTGAAATTCGAGTAATTGTTTCAAGCCCTGCAAATTTCCAAAAAAAGAATCATGATGTTACAACAGCATCTAAATAAAAGCGTGACGAAAGAGAAGAAATAAGTCAGATTAGTGCAAATAGCTTATGTTCATCATCTTGCGAAGAGAAAGAAAAACAGAAATTGAATACATGCCCATGGGTTAGACGCAGATCTCATAGAACTTATAAATTGAAGAGAAAGAGAAGAATCGTTATCTTACAAATGATCCACTGGATGTCGCCATCTTCGTAGATTTTGGATGTGAACATCGTATTTAGAACTGAAATGGGAATAATGAAACTGAATCAAACTACAATTAAGTTATTTGATGGATGCTAAAAATGAGAGATTGAGAGATGAGAGGAGCTTGAAACCGAAGAGATTGTGGCCATGTGGGAGACGATGAGTTTATGATTTAAAATTTATACATTGTTTTGAAGTTAGGGTTTCATGTGAGTATTATGAGAAGAGACGTAGTTAAAAGTGTCCTAATTTAAGACTAAATATTATTTTTTTGAAAAGTAAAAATATTGTTTTAGATATATTTAGGAATTAGTTACTTTTTTATAGGTGTTGTGGCAGTTTAGAAAAGTAAAAATGCTGATGTGACATCATTTGAGAGAAGTTTTAGTTTGCTGATGTGGCTAGCATAAAGAATTTCAAATAGTTCATTTAATTTAGTATAGATGTATTTCACTTTTAAAAGATATATATATATATATATATATATATATAACTTGGTTGAAAATCTGGTTAGTTACATGAATCATGAATGTGTCTATAAATATATGATTTAAAATTTAAAAATAAATTTTGACCAAATAAAAAATAAAAAAGTAAATAAATGTATGATAAAAAAAAAATCTTACGCACTGTATCTTCTCACGTATTTAAAATACAATGTAAGTATTATAAAAGTTTTAATGGGTTGATTTTAAATCAACACCTTTCACTTTCAGTTTTGCACCAATATCCATACATATCATATCTACATAATAGTAATACACTAAAAATAGTATGGAAAATTATAACTGTAAAATTCACACTGAACAGATTTCTAATATCATTCAGCCTGGCTAACCATAAAATATATTTGGTTGCTTTTAATCAAACCTTTCAGTTCAGTTAGAAAAAAAACTACTATCTTTTTGGTTTTGAAACTGAATTTTAGATCCTCAGTTTAAACTTTCATTGATTAATAAGATTGAAAATAAAGAAAACAAAACATATATGCACACATCTGACAAGTCTACTTTAAAAGAATTGTGCAGACAAAAAATCTATATTATTCTCTGGGAAGAAAAAAGAACAAATTGAAGAAAAAAGAACAAATTTCTTCTGAATTTAGAAAATAATGGACTAAAAAAAGGATTTAAGCTTAGGCCCATTTATAAACTACCAATGATCCATAGTGTCTCGCGGCCCGATCATTGGTTTCGGCATCTGGCGACATTGTCCGAGACGCAATTTCTTCTCTAGTAGCTTTATGTGTTCATGATTCGCAGGAGCTTCTTCCATGGCCAAAGTAGCAGAAGTGAAAGTGATGATCCCTGAAGGGTCACGATACGAGCTTCTCCTCTCATGTCCTTCTGGCCTCTCTCTATCTCAGGTTTTTCTCTCATTTCCATTGATCGAATATACACACAGTGGTTTTAGTTTCCCTTATGTCAAATCGTTTTGTTGTTTTAATGCCCAAGGTCTCCGTGGATTTCTCAAAATCGCATGATCGGATTCCACATTCCGATCCTGGTCTCGAAGATTCCATTGCGCAGGTGAGAGAATGGTTTCTGATTCTGGAACTCAATTCAATAATGCTTGATCGAATTGTTAAAATCTCTAGTGAAATGGCGAAGATTCTATCTCTTATTTTACAATGTGAACTCGCAAATCTGATCGGATCTCACTTATCATTTCCCCGTATGAATGTTACCGTTTGTTAATATTGATCCGTATCTCCTGTTTCTCTAGAATTTTGTGAGCTTTTTGATTAGATAAATTTGATTAGTGATGCTTGTTCTTGACAATTTAGGTTTGGGAGCAGAGAACACAGGGGAATTCATCACTGTTCAATGGCCAAAAATTCAGAGTAAGCGTTTCATGTCATGTTTAAGATTCTACGCATTTAGTTGCAAGGATCAAGAATATGAAGAAAATGCACGGAGATGCATTGTCTCTGACGTTTTTTGTACTTAGTCACTGATCAAAGCAGCTAGTTCATTCAATGTAATCAAATTTCGTCATAAATTTGTAATTTTTGTTCAATATAAGCTAACTCCTAGTTAAGTTTTCAGTATGGATCATATTGTTTAGTTGGTGATGGCGATGAAGTGCCACAAGTCTGCCTTCGCCTTGGCCTGACAGATTACAGGTTACTCATTTATCTCTCTCCTTTCTCATTATTTTTTCGGTTTCACGGAGAGAGTAATTAATCAGGGACAATGGTTTCCAAGGACTTTTGTAGGAACGAATTTGAGTTCTCTGTGGGAAAGGTTTCTTGTAACATCACAAGGTAACACATATATACCAAACTTTTGTGATCATTGTCTAGTTTTGTGTTCATGCTTCTTAATCTCCATAGTTTTGTGCTCTCCCCACAGATGATGACTCTGTTAGATGTCGACATACCTCAAGTCCATTGGGTAATGGTGCAGTTCTCGAGACTTCTGACAAGAAGATTATCGTGTTACGCCGGAGTAACAATGTCGGGGAGTTTCCAGGTCACTACGTTTTTCCTGGGGGCCATCCAGAGGTATTTGTTAACATTAAGACATCACATTGTCTCTGTTTCTAACTCTTTTTGCATGGTTGATGAATTTTAAACATTGCAGCCAATGTCAGTAGGAATTGATTCTCATCAGCTTGAGAAAGATGGTGAGGTTTTAAACAAGAAGGTTACTCAAGAAATGTTTGAGAGCATTACACGTGAAGTTGTCGAAGAAACTGGAATACCTGCATCATCTCTTGTAAGCCAGAAGAAGGGTTTGTTTTTCTTTGTCTCTCTGAGTAATATCTGGAAATGAATCTGATTAAATCTTTGATACACAATCACAGAGCCCTCCTCTCTTCATTGGAATATCACGGAGGGAGTTGAATGTGAGACCAGCTATGTTTTTCTTCATCAAGTGTAGTCACCATTCAGATGACATTCAAAGATTATACCCTGATGCTGAAGATGGGTTTGAGTCAACACAGCTCCACACTGTCTCTATGGTTAGTTCTCTACTCCATGAACACACACATTCGGGAAACAAACAAAAACCATCGATTGCGTGATTTTACTCTCTAAAATGAATGAATAACTGTAGCTTATCTTTTATAATAATCGACCAGGACGAGCTTAAGACAATGACATCAAGAATGCCAGGTTGCCACCATGGTGGTTTTGCGCTCTACGAACTGATGCTTCAACGTGTCCAATGAAACGCAACATCAACCCAAGAGGACGCAAATTGAACTTATTATAGTTGGCGTATGGTTTGCAAATAAATACTATATGTTATATGTCATTTTGGATAAGTGAATTCAACGGCTCATTTGCTATTCTGATAACATACTAAGATATTTAGCCACGAGTTTAACCAAGACGATGAGTAACTATCATGTTGTAACCATATACATATCTGAGCATGGATACCATTTATATAAAAGGTAATAAGAGGTTTATCTGTTCACATATCTAACCATATTAGATTCTAGCATTTAATTTTTGATTAAGAGACATTAACGATGAGGGTTCCATACAAGCAACAACATGAAACCGTTTCAAAATCTGATGCAAACCCATTATGGATTCGTGCTACTAAGCGGCTTTAAGATCTTTGGCTATGTTGAAAGTTCTTCCTGAAAAATGCAGACAAACTAGCTGCAGCAGCACGACCGTTCTCTACACACAGGAAATAATCTTCCACTGAAACAAAACAAAAGCAAAAACAAAAAAAACAAAATCAGAGTTATAGATTATGCCATGGTTAAGAATCAAAACTCCTTAAAACAACATATCCCAAACAAGTGAAATGTGTGAACACAATTCGTCACAGTACTCCATGCGTACCTGACATTACTCCAGAGGTAACTGATGTGATGATCCCATGCTCTACGGGCTCGCCTTCCACTGCCGATGATCCTTCCGGAAGAACAGAGAGTGGTGTATTTGGGAAGACTAAGTAAGCGAAAGCCTTCATTTTCTGTTCATTGTAGTTCAAGTTAGTCTAAACCAATAATCAGAAGAAAAGAAAACAGTAAAGAGCAACGAGCTTTTTTCTTCAATTTTAACCTTTTCTTCAAGCTTGTTTGGATCGAGTACGACATATCCACTAACAGCCAGGCAACAACATATAGCAACTGTATAAATAAAAACGCCGATGAAGCAATTTGAAGAAACACACAAAGTCAATAGATAAGAGCATAAAGTTGCAAAGATATATATATAATACCAGCGAGATGCTTCATAGGGATTCCAGCATCTACAAGAGCTGCACATGCTGCGTTTATGGCGCACGGTAGAAGCTACACAAGAATGAATTAAGGAACAAGAAACTAATTTCACTAATACATATTCATAATAAATGCTTTCACTACTCTCTATAGATTCTCAAAATCGGAATTTGTAAATTGTGCTTGAAAACAACATCAGTAAATAGTTACTGAGGATCACAAAAAGGATACAGAACCATCATCATTTACAACCTACAGGAGAAGCAGAGAATTGAAAACATCAGATACAACTCAAATCGATGAAATTGAGATTCTACAAGACAGGACGATTATTACGAAAGGGCAGCAAATGCACTGAGATGAGGTTACTCACCTGAATTATCACTGACGTGGTGGTATTTGGATTAGTTGTCAAGACACAAATACTCTGTATTGTCCTTTTTAGTATCATCTCACACTCCTTCTCGGCTTTTCCTAGAGTCACGCAGAGTCAAAATCAGTCAGAAACACTTACTCCTACAACACGGATCCAAAGAAAATCCAGGGATGATCAAACTTAATGCATTCAACATACCAATCTGCCCAGATTTAGGCTTCCATATGACTTCAAAGCAAGCCTTCTCAGGGTTCTCGTTCTTCTTCGTGCCTGCTTTAGGTCCATAAACTGCAGCTAGAACTTTTGTATCCCCTAATACAAAAAACGAGAAGCATACCCATTAGAAAGTTCCATGAGCCCAATTCGAAGGAGTAGAAATTATACCAATCATAGAAATTGCGAAACCAAAAGAAAGATGGGGACTAAAAAGAAGTACCTTGCGACCAGCTTGCAGAGCCATGAGGACGATGAAGGATGTTACGGGAACAAGCAAGAGGTCTCAGCTGATTTGGCGTTCTGCCATCTTCTCTATCGATCTCCATAGCTCTGATACTTCTCCACATAAATTAAAGTTATCAAATTTCTGAACTCTACCAATGAAAATCAGATACAGAGCCCAAAAAAGAACCATCTTCAAGCTCAACATTGAGTGGACTCACAAAAAAATCATGTTTTTGAATCGTTCTGACAAATATACTGTGTAAGCTTTTTGATTGTTGAAACAAAAACTCGTTCTTTCAATTCTACAAGACTCGCTATGTCGCAGATAAAGACAGTATCGAAACACAAAACTATCTGTCTCCTACTCTATTGAAAATTCACAGCATTAAACGAAAAGAAGCAGAGATAGAACACGAAGCGACACATAACTATGCTAGAAGAAGGGACGATTCCTTATCAAACTAGAAAATACATAGAAGATTAGATGATTAGCACCTCAATCTCAATGAAGAACTGAAGACAGGGACCGGCGATTTGCAGCACTCGACAGTGTAACCAGAGTAGGACGAAGAAGAAGAACGTACTGAAGAATTAGGGCTGCTTTGGTTTAAGTTACTAAACCCCTCTCAATTCAAGTCAGTTAAAGTGTTTTAGCTTGTACGGATAACCGGCCGGTCCGGTTTTTGTAAAACATTGGTCTAATGTGTAAACACGCGCTGGGGGAAAGAGACGGGCTTACTTAATCCGGCGTTTGAACATAATCAATCTTGGCGAGAAAAATCTGAGTAACTGACGGAAAAAATCCTTGCGATTATCGACGATATCGGTTTGATCTGAGTTCCGGTGATTTCTCGAGGAAGGATGGATGAAGAATTGTTGGAATTGCAGCGACAGTTCGAGTTCGCTCAGCAGGTGAAGTCAAGCGTCAGGTTATCGGATCGAAATGTCGTCGAATTGGTTCAGAAGCTTCAGGAGCTTGGCGTCATAGACTTCGATCTGCTTCACACCGTCACCGGAAAAGAATACATCACTCAGGTACATAGTCTATTTGGGCCTTTACCTCTTTTTCCGCCATTTGTTTCCTGAGGAAAACCACGTTGTGAATAAACTCCTGAAGAATCGACACAGGTTTTCTCATAAATTGATCGGATCATGATGACTTAACATTCCTTTGAATTCACTGAATGGTGTTGAAATGGACTGAACCATGGATAATTCCGCTTGTTGCATGTTGAAGTTAATCCAAAAATGAAGTCAAATTGCTTGATTAAGCTTCCTGTAAAATCTTTGAAGGGTTTGATGAAGGTGTTAATTTTTTTTTTTTTTTCGTAGGAGCAATTGAGGAATGAAATTGGTAGCGAGATCAGTAAATTGGGCCGTGTCTCCGTCATTGATCTCGCAGATACGATTGGGGTTGATTTATATCATGTGGAGAAGCAAGCACAAGATGTTGTCTCGAGTGATACAGGACTCATGCTTGTTCAGGGAGAGATAATATCACAAACCTATTGGGATTCAATCGCAGAAGAAATCAACGAGAGGCTTCAAGAATGCAGCCAAATTTCTGTGGCTGAAATCGCTGGTCAGTTACAAGTTGGCTCTGAGTTGGTGCAATCCGTTTTAGAGCCTCGGCTTGGAACTTTGGTAATGGTTGCTTCGCTTCTCCTCTCAGCTCTCCAGATTGTGTTTTAGTGAATGAGAGAGCTTTTATATTTGTTTTTCTTCCAATATTTCTTAGGTGAAAGCAAGGCTAGAAGGTGGACAGTTATATACACCTGCTTATGTAGCACGTGTTACTGCTATGGTTCGAGGTGCTTCCAGGGGTATCTTTGTTCCCTCCAACTTGTCGGCATTGTGGACGTCATTGCAACAGTTGGTACAAGAAATGAATGGAGCTAGTGGAGTCGCTGTTGAGAACTCGTTTTTCCAGTCTATATTTAACCGACTGTTGAAGGAAGAGGAGATGCTTGGATCACTACGTGCTGGCACCCACTGGACTCCTACTGTATGTCATACAACTCTGACTTTTTGGCATCTAATGGATTGTCCAAGCTTGCTGTTTCCCATGTTCAGTTACCATTCATCAAATTAACAATGCAGTTTTGGTGGCAGGTTTTTGCAACTGCGCAAAAGGAATGTGTGGACTCTTTTTTTTCACAGGTGTGTTTATCGTTTCCCCTAATATGTCCTTATGTATGAATTAATTTATTCAATAGTTGGTTGTGGAAAATAAATAACTCTAAACTTCATCAGACTGCAGTTTTAGCATGTTCTGTAAATTTTCTTTCTTCAAGGGGTTTATGGTTTATTTTGTTTTGTTTTCCTGCAGAATTCCTATATCACCTATGAGACCATGCAGAAGCTTGGGATTTCTCAAGCGGTGCAGTTTTTACAGGTATTGTATTATGTTAGTTTAGCGTAATATATCTCTAGTTTGTGAAAATATAACTAATGGAGTGAGAATCAAGAATGAGTATTATGTTGCCTCTCTCATTTTTTTCTCATTCTAGTTTTTGTTATGTGACATGTATAGTCTAGATATCCAGATGGTAAACCTTTATCTACTGTATTCATTCATTCCTCGATGATTGAGATGCTGGATGCTGCAACCGAGGATGCTATTGAACAAAGCAGTTGGTGAGGCTAAATGATCTTTACGCTTTTCTCTTCTCTCTATTGTGTTTGTTTGCTTCTACGTTATGCTGTTGAATGTTGATGTGACTAGATCTATTGTTACTGAAATCCTTGATTCACGGTTCAGGATCGATTCCCTCTCTGTATTGCCTGCATCATTCTCGTCACAGGATGCAAATAAGATGTTGCTTCTTTGTCCCTCTGCCGAATCAGCTCTTAAGGTGGGGATTTTGATCAATTTTTATTACTAGTCAATGCTCTTTTGCAATTAATTGTTTTTGTATTTTTACTTTTCAGGCTGAGAAAGCACTTATCCTGGGCGATTCCTATGTCTTAAGCAATGGGTTCATAAAGGTAAACATATGAAATGGAGGGTGTTTTTAGTAGTTTCCTTGCCAGCTCTTCCCCATTTGGTTTTCTCTCTCTGAACTATGCCTTACTTTGACCTACTAATGTTTAGGGAATATATGATCAAATTGAGAAAGAGGCAGAAGCTTTCAGCATCCAAGCTTCTACTGCTAGATTAATAGATCCTTCAAGCAAATCTTCAGAGTCGACAGAAAGCATTCCTGCTAATACAGATAGAGGATCAAAGAAGAAGAAAGGCAAGTCTGCCAGCATGAAGACAGCAACGGTCGAAACTGTTCCAGATGATGAAGAGGACGTCCGTCCTAAATCTAAGAGAAACCAGAAGAAAGGTAGGGATTCATCATCGTCACAGAAGTTGGAGAAAGCAGGAGGCAAGAAAGAGGCCGTTAAGGCGCAAGAAGGTAATAACATTATTCCGCCAGACGGATGGGTGATGAAAAAAATCGTGGAGTCTGTGCCTGAGTTTGATGATGAAGGTACATCTGAGAACTCTATTATTATGGATTAAAAAATTATGTAGCTATGCGTCCGTGTGATAGAAGGTATGTGGTTTATGGCAGGTATGGAGAACCCAGATTCAGTTCTTAAGCATTTAGCTGATCATATGAGACCGATGCTTATTAATTCACTAAAGGAGAGAAGAAAGAAGATCTTCACAGAAAATGCAGATAGAATGAAGCGCTTGATGGATGATCTTCAGAAAAAGCTTGATGAGGTTGAAACAACAATCAATGCCTTTCATGTGCTTCTCATATTGGAGATGTTATTCACCTTTTATCAGCCAGCATGATAGTATCTTGTGATCTTATTTTTATAAACTTACCTTTTTGCAGTCTTTCCTAAATATGCAATTGTATGAGAAAGCGCTCGAGCTATTTGAAGTTGACCAATCGACCTCAGTAAGTACTTTAAGTCCATTTTGCAAGCAGCATGCTGCTACTTGAAGGAGATAGTGTAACAATTTGTTTTCTTCTGGCGCTTAGGTTGTTTTACATAGGCATCTTTTGAGAACAACAGCAGCTACAATTGCTGACACACTTCTTCTTGACTTGGTAAGTTAAGAATAAAATGGAGTTTCTAAGGACCTAAGGTCATGTTCATACTGATTTTACTAATCAAGCTTAAATTTTAAAAACAGGACAACCTCGAGAAATTGAAGAATGGTACTGAAGTTGGAGATTCCAAAACTCAAGATCCAGTTTTGCTTGATTCTTCTGAAAGAACAGCACTGGTATGCAAATTTGATCACTACTCTAACGTAGTACTTCATTTTTGCACTTGAATAATGCCAGCTGAAGTTCAACTCTATCTTGTTTCCTTTTCCTTGGGGCAGGCTAAAAAGCTCAACGGTTCATTCTCGAAAAAGGGTCTTGCATTAGTTGAGGCATTGGAAGGAAAGGTTAGATCTTTGTTAATGAATATACTTTCTCTTACTGTTGCTAACATACTGCTTGGTATAAATCCATAGTTTCTCTTTCGTTACAACTATAAAGGGAGTCAGTGGTCGTAACGATGTGAAATAATATTAAATAGCTATAGGGTCAGAAAAGAGTCTTTATTTGTTCCTTAGGCCTGGCCACTACGTTAAATGTCTGTTTCACGTATTTTTCCGCTACCTAGTTACCCTGTTTAAGAGCCTTTGATTCTTTCCCTGAAAGCAAACTAAAGCCCCGTTGATGTGTTTCAGCGTGTAGACGCTTTCATGACCACCTTCATAGACCTGGCAGAGGAAAGGTATATCATAATTCTAATTTATCAAGATCTCTTTGAAGCAAGTCTCTATACTTTTCATCCGATTTTGACTGATTATTTTTAACTTCATTTAGTGGACTGGTCTTGAAAAAGCTTGATAAAAAACTGGAAAGGACTCTCCTACATTCATACCGCAAGGTGTGTACGACGAGGGCACATCCTTTTATCTGTATACTAAAAATATCTCACCACTCCTTTTTTATCTTACAATGACGGGTGTTTGTTGTGCAAGCAGGATTTAATATCTCAAGTTTCTACTGACTCGGACCCTGTTGCACTTCTCGCTAAAGTCGTCTCTCTCCTTTATATTAAGGTATACTATATTCCATGTTAGTGTAACTAATTGTATTCTATGTTGAAGATTCGGATATCTAGTTAATGGTTGGAAAATTGTTTGACAGGTTCACAACAAAGCTTTACAAGCCCCTGGTAGAGCCATTGCTGCAGCTATTTCACACTTGAAGGTATTACAACGTAGTAATAACAATCACTAGTTGACAGTATAACTTTATCTCTCGTAGGAATGCACAAGCCAGAAATAGCATCTTCAAACTCTGTATTATATATTGGTCTTACGTTTCATTTCGACCCTGTAGGATAAACTCGATGAATCTGCGTACAAGACATTGACAGATTACCAAACAGCAACTGTTACTCTTCTTGCTCTAATATCAGCTTCGTCGGGCGAGGTTCAAATCCTTCTCTTCTTTTGGGTTATAAAAATGTTTACTCAAGATGCGAACCATTAACTCTCTTTGAGAATGATCTCTTAAAAGCTGTTTCATTCATATGTACAGGAACATGACTGCTCATCAGACAGGATCCTGACCAAACGGGAGCTCCTCGAGAGCCAGATGCCAGTTCTTCGGACACTTGTCCTCGGCGACTCACAGCCACAACAGTCCTAATCCAACTCTAGTTCGGTCGGAATGTTTCTTAGTTTCTTACATGTTATGCTACAACAAAATCACTACACTGAAACTCGTTAGGACTTAAGAGATTCTGCGGCAACCTTATATATATGAATAGATCTGCATGGTTCAATCTTTACTTCAAATGAGGGCATCTATATTTTAAAACACTCTTTTATTAACGCGGTTGATGATTACAAGAGAAAAGGTAAAATCACACACATAGTTTATTATTACACACCATCGCATTTTTGTCTTAAAACTTTCAGACTTCACCAATTACCATTTAGCCAGAGATATCAATGGACTTGACTTCAGGCTTCCTCTCAGGCACTTTCGGGACCATAACAGACAAAACACCATTCTCCATACTCGCCTTTGCTTCATCCACCTTTGCATTCTCCGGCAACCTGAACCTCCTCATGAACTTCCCACTCGACCTCTCCACACGATGCCACTTGTCACTCTTCTCTTCATTCTCACTGCTCCTCTCTCCGCTTATCTGAAGTATGTTTCCATCTTCAACCTCTACTTTCACCTCTTCCTTCTTCAGCCCCGGCAAGTCCGCCTTGAACACGTGCGCCTCAGGTGTCTCCCTCCAGTCCACTTTAGCGTTTGTGAACGCTGCCACGTCTTTAGCTGGTGCGTTTGCCGACCCTGAAGGCGTTAAGAATCCTTCGAATGGATCCCATACGTCAAGTGAGAATGGATCGAACACGTTTGTTCTTCGTCCTCCGAAAAAGCTTGGGATTAGAGACATCTTGAATAACTATAATATACTCTTCGCGTTTTTGCTCTCTTTTATTTGGCTTTGTTCTTTTGCTGTTTTTGTTGATTCGTATGCCTTCGTGTCTTCTCGAATATATAGGGGAAGAAAATGGGGAGCGAGTGGATAAGACAGAGAACGTTCTGCAAGTTTCTTGAAAAATCATGGCTTTCTTCTTTCTTTCTTTTATTTCATTCGGTTGGAAGCGTCGTTACTCGATTTGTCTTGTGCTTTCAAGAAGTTTCGCTGGACTGCGTGTAATTTCGACTGTTTGGCACGTGGACGCCATGCCGTTTTTGGTTCTATAAATTTCGCTATAGGCTCCGTTACTGGGCCTTAATACCGTGGTTCATTTCTGATTTCTGCCTACGTGCAAGCATCTCAATCTTATTCCATTTTTAATTTTAAATACTATTTTGGAGTAAAATTTTCTCCAATTCTGCTTCATTCCTAATTCCAAAATGGAGTAAACCTAAATTCTACTCTATATTTGGAGTAGAGTTACTCCATTTTGAAGTTAGACTTTTTTATTTACAAATTAATCTTTTAGATTTAAAATAATTATATTTTATAGTATTTAATATTTATAAAAATATTATAAAACTGATAATTATGAATATTTAAACATTACAATTATTCCTAAAACATTACAAAATATAACAAACTTAAAATATATAATAAATACTGAAACTAAGATAAACAATATAAATAAATTTAAAACAAAAAATACAAAAAATATTAATGATAAATTTTTAGTAATAGTAATATTTAAATAAAAATTGCATAGGCAGTTTTGTGATGTTATGTAATTTTTATTATTTGATAAATATTTAAGTTATAGCTTTTGAAAGAAACTGTAAAATATAAAATAAGTAAGATTTATTTGTAAATTTTAAAACTAAAAAGTATCCTCTACATATTAATTGAGAATATAGTTTAATGAAAATTGTTGATTTGTTTTAATTTGATTGGTTAATATATTTAGTTTGGACAATTTTAATGTGACATGAAAATGATGATGTGTAATGATGATGTGATTGTGACATATCAATTTTTAGTACACATGGCTTGTGACATGCCATTATTTAATCTATAAATAAAATTTCATTTTAAAATTTTGATAAAAACTTTAAGTACTCAATTTTTTGACAAAAATTGATAAAATTATAATTTTGTCAAATAGATTTTGAAATCACATTTCAACACAAAAAATTGTCAGAGAAATTTACGGATTTCAAAATATGTAGCGGAAAATTTGTGGATTCATAATACTTAACAAAAAGTCACGAAATCAAATTAAAATACACTAAAATAAATGGTTTGATGGGAAAATTACAATTTCATGTTTTTGGCGGAAAAATTTCTGAAATCGGGTTTTCACGGAAGTTTTTTGAAATTATATTTTTAAGTAAGTTTTTGGCGAAATATTTACGGTTTCACTTATTTGGCAGGAAATTCATGAAATCAAAAATTTGACTGGTAGTTTTAGGAATCACATTTTTAATGTTAAATTTTTGGCATTATTTTTTTTTATGGATTCATTTTTTTCGCAGAAAATTCACAAAATCGAAATTTTGATAAAATATTTTTTGAACATATTTTTAATATAATTTTTTTTTGGTGCGAAGGTTACCAATTTATGTTTTTCGCAGAAAATTTACGAAATCAGTTTTTGATGGAAACTTTTGGGATCTTATTTTTTAAATAAGTTTTTAGCAAAATATTTAAAAGTTCAAATGTTTGTGTGAAATTTACGGATTCAGATTTTTAGAAAGAGAATTTATTCACTGAAAATTGATAGGGCTCAGGTTTTACCCAAATAAAACTAGTGCAAGTGCACAGCAAAAACAGTTGTAGTACAAGGGGTATCGAAATCCCAAGAGAGTAATGCAGACTACACTATCGAATGTAGATTCGGATTAAGCTAAGCAAAATATGATGTATGTAATCCGAATGAATGAATAAATGTAAGCAAACGATTGTGTGATATGATCTAAGTTCAAGAAGACTAAAAGCGCTAAGTCAGGGTAATTCGCAGGTTTGAATCCAAGAATGTGTGATGCAGGAAATCAGGAATGATTAAGAACCGTTTTAAACATGAATCTCTAATGCATAACTAATCAATTCTCATTGTAAAAGTTATCTATGCCTAAATCACAGAGTTTCAAATCTCTTTGCAAACCCTAACAACCTAAGCATGCAGGAATGATCAGATTCAATTGTTTACAAAACTCCTAAGCCAAATCTCTTTGCACTAAGTTGCTTTGCTCATCAAATACTAGTTCAGGTTATGAATAATGCTCTCACATATATTTAACAACCTATAATTTTCGGATTCCTAGATGATGTGTCTCAGAAATTCGATTTTAAAGCAAGCAGAGATGAAAAACCATAAGATATTCCTAACAGATAGCGATTCTACACTCTTTTCATCAACCTTTGAAAAACCCTAACTTAACTAGCAGATTACTCAGACATGATTATGAGATCACAAAACATAACTGAATAAAATTGCATTAAGAGAAAGAGTAGGGAAATAAAGGGGGTTCGAAATCTTCTCAAAAGAGTACAGGATTTGTCTCCCCAAAAAGCTCTGAATAAATCTCTCTCTAAGCTCTCTGAATTCTCAAAAACTAAGATTCTTGCCAACAATGGCTGAAAAACCTAATAAATAGAAGCTAAACACGATCTGGGGTCTTCATGTAAATAAAGGAAACTTCTTGGCCAATTCTGCAAATCTTCTTGATACTTTTAATAAAACAGCTACGCTCCTTCCTTAATGGGTGACGAGCGTCACCAAAGGTGGTGACGAGCGTCACCATATGCGATACTTTTCTGCTTCGAGCTTGGTACTTCGTGGCTTCCATTCAGAATGCTCCAAAAGGTTCCAAAATCTCCAATTATGCTCCAGACATGCTATAACCTGCAAAGACTCTTCTAGGACTCTAAAAAGACCAAAAAGACTCAATAAAAAGGACTTATATCATGGTTAAAAACCATAAAAACCATGATATATCAACTCCCCCAGACTTAGCTTTTGCTTGCCCTCAAGCAAATATTAGACAAACGAGGTTTGAAAACAAGAAACAGTCAGTCAGTTATCGGGAACACCACACTAGTTAGAGCTTTCGAATCCACATGCCACATAGTCAACACAAGGTCAAATTTCAGTCTAATTATCACAAGCTTAGCAAATCTTTCAAGTCCAGTCCAAACCCCTTCAAGAAATCCGAAATTTCTACTGTTAACTCCTTATTTTTTATCTAAGTGTGAAATCTCATCAAGGCTCTATCATCTCAATCACTTTACAGATTCTTTTCTCTTCCTAACAACTTAACAAGTAGATATCAACACAGCTCTCCTATTTTCTCTTCCCTTAATCTTTTTCCTTAGGATATTTTCGATTTTTCACTTCTTTTTCTCAACTTTTTCAGTCTAAGAAATGGTGCTACTCAATACTTGTGTTTCTTGTGAGGAGACAGGTTCTTGAGTGTGTTCACTACTGTTGTTCCTTGTGAGGAGACATGGTCATGAATGCACCATTCTTTGAACTTAATCTTTTTTTTAAAAACTACATCAGGGAAAATCAAAGAGAGACTGTATCTTAACCTTATTGTCAGTGCTTAAAGAGAGAATCAAGATCAATAAGAATCAATCACCAAGACAAGAAGTTTAAAGTTCATTAAGGTGGAGCTAACAGTAAATTTTCCAGATTCTCTAAGAACCTAAACCTTCATTGCTAGACTGATCTACCTATGACTTTCAACTTAGTAAGACTTGTAATCAACTACTGTGGCAATGGTTCTTATCAGCAAAAACGTCCTATGGCTAGTTCCAAGAAAAACTAACAGTTTCAAAAATTTTGACTCTAGAAAAACAGGTTTTTTGACTCAACTTTAAGACTCTATAATCATGACACAAAGCACACAACGTCAGTAACCACCTCCCCCAGACTTGAACAACACTGTCCCCAGTGTTATTAAGCCAAGAGTTGGTCAGAAAAATGAATGAGAAGTCGAAAAACCAAGTCAGAAAAGTGGTACCTCGCGTGGGGTCGGGTGACGAGCGTCACCAGTCTGGTGACGAGCGTCACCACGACCTGTATTGCCCAAATCTTATGTCAGATGTTAATTAACGAAGTGTTTGCATGTGTACTCGAAAGTTAGACTTTTTGAGCATTCAAACACATAATTAACAACATCCAAACATAGCAAAAATAACCTGGTTCAAC